ACACCGACCAGAGCACTGGGAGGCCGCTAAGAGGGTGTTGCGCTACTTGTGCAGTACGTCGGGCATGGGGCTCGTGCTTGGAGGACGGGCTCGAGTTAGCCTCACTGGCCACGCAGACGCTTCTTGGGTTGACGACCTGGCTACGCAGCGGTCGTCACAGGGTTACACTTTCAGGCTTGGCTCCGGCTCTGTTTTGTGGCGGTCTACCCGCTCGTCTTCTGTTCTCAGTTCCAGTTGTGAGGTTGAGATCTACGCATGGGCCATGGCTGCACAGGAGTTACGCTGGCTCACCTACCTGCTGACCGACTTGGGAGAGCCGCCTCGTTCTCCTCCAGTTCTGTACGTCGACAACAAGGCCATGATTGCCTTGTGTCAGGAGCACAGACTGGAGCACAGAACAAAGCACATCGCTCTGCGCTACTTCCTTGCTTGAGAGTTGCAGCAGCGTGGTCAGCTTCGTCTTGCTTACGTGGCCTCTCGGGCCAACACTGCTGATATCTTCACCAAGGCACTTCAGCCTTGTGATCATCAGCGTTTCTGTACTGTTCTAGGCCTTGTGCCTACTTGGTCTCACTTGCTCACTTCTTGAATTTGCTTGTACTGTGATCTATATACATATACCTGCATGCTTACACTTGCTAGGTTGTGATCACTGTACTGCTTGTTCTCCTTTATATAACTCTGCATTTGAACTGGCCTTGTGGCCATTTGTTTGTGCTCAGAATGCGTGGTGACTTCGTGATCCACCCTGAGCTTGCTTTGCTTTTCTTGACCGGTCTTGTGACCTCTTGTTCTCCTCCACTTTGCTTATGGGGGTGTGTCAAACTTATATGCTGCTTATTGTGTAGGCTATAGTGGGGTAGCCCATATGGGGTACAATCCAATTAGGGTTTGCTACTTGTACCCATCTTTCTGCTAGTTCATTCATTCTCGTTTATTCTGCTGACAGGAGCTTCGTCTTCCTTGCCATATTTGTACGTTGTGCCCTGAAGCGGATCTACATTGGCAGCCGTTCCCGAAAAGGTTCACAGCGGCATCTTAGATTTTCCACTGCAAGAAGGGAGAGCAAATATCAATTATGTCCTCACCTTCATTGACGAAGCCACTCGTTACGTCTGGCACGCGCTCATCCTTTTCTCGCCTATGAATCATTCGTCGTGTGGATTCCCGCAGCTGAAAGGGAAATCGATTTGAGACACCTGGCAGAACGAGGAATCAAGAAACTACATTCGTTGCCTTATTAGCATTAGCAACAGGGTGTGGCAGAAAGGATGAATCGAACTCGCCAGGTCATCATGTGTAAGCTTCTCATAGAAGCATGCCTACGAGCACACCACTGGAAGTTTGCGATGGATCACACACCTTTTGCATAGTATTTTGTCATCGCAGTCCCTGCCAAACAATTCATAACCCTACAAGGAGTGGACAGGGAAGATGGGCAATACAAAAATGTTACGCATCTTTAGGTGTATGATATAGTACCGGCCTTTGAATACACATGCAGGGAGGTTTTCGCAAAGGGCGACATGGGGGATTCACTTGGGCGTAAAAAAAAAAAAATCTCGTGGTAGTCCCGAACGTGATGTTTTGTTCTACGAGCACCTCACTTACAACACTTGGCAAGTGCAGCATACAAACCGAGGAGACATGACAGCTGGATTTACTGGAGCACGCACCTTCGCCACAGAAACCGACGAAGCAGATGCGGTGGAGGAAGCTGTCCCTGGAGCGTCAGTAGCTGCCGGTGCTACCCCTTACTGTTTCGTTCCAATTGAGATCGATGAATCGGATCCTCACCACGACATCAATGCCGAGTCTTACTACGGGTTCGCTAACAACGAAGCAACTACTGCTTCCCGTCACTTCTAATGAAAGCGAATGCCAAAGTCCCTGATTGAATTTTGATCCTGAAGCTGGTGACGAAGCAGCTACTACCGAGACAGAGCAACAGACTCGTTACAGAGCAGCTGGTCTACAAATATAGGGTCTTGCAGTCGCTGTACAGATTCCAACTGCTGCTATCGAGCCGAAAACAATTGATCAACCTCTGAAGGGGCCTCACGGGGAGAAATGTCACGAAGCCATGGACAGGGAGCTGAAGGCGCTGCATGACCGCAACACATTGAATTTAATCCCTAATTGGACCGTCGCTGGACAGAAATTGTTTTTTTTCTCATCAAAACTAATGCGGACAGCACAATCGAACGTTTCAAGGCGCGTTGGGTTGTTAGCGGGTTCGACCAAACGCATGCCGTTGACAATTGCGAGACTTTCACTCCCGTCAGTCGCCATACATTGCTCCGCATTCTGCTCGCCTTCGCATTGGGTCTCAAGCTACGTTAACTCGACGTCGCCACGACTTTTCTCTATGCGCACATTGACACATTGATTCTCGCCGAGCAACCACACGTTACGTTACCGACCCTACCCTCATATGCAAACTCAACAAATTTCTCTATAGGATTCAACAAGCCCCTCGACTTTAGCAGCAGAATCTTCACGCATGTCTCATCCGCATCGGATTTCATCAACTCCCGCACGATCACGGCATGTATCGCATCTACCGTGATGACGCATTTGTACTTCTCGTCGTATACGTCGACGTCGGCATGTATCGTATCGGTACTTCCGCGACGATTCTCTCTTACTCCGAAGGGGATATGTAAACGGTTCTTACGCTAACGATTTCCACCGACGTCACTCAGTATCTCGGACTAAACATCACCGAGACGCCCGCGGAAAAATACGCCGAGAAGCTTCACAAAAGCTTTCCACTGCCGCTTACTACTGCCTCGACCCCTTATCGCTCTAGTTAGTTCTCTGACACCGAAATTCTATCTCCTGACGGAATCACGCGCTACCAGCAACTCGTTGGCAGTGTACTCTTCATTGCAGTCACTTCCCGTCCGGACTTGGCTTATTCATCTAGCCATCTTGCGCAATACCTTAAGCAATCTGAAGGGGAGAGCCTAAGGGAGCTCGAAGCGGCAGTATCTTATTTCATCCCCATGCCTACGATCGGTCTGACTTATCACAAGTCGCCGCATTCTGCGCTTCAACTACTCAGCTCCGTAGACACAGATCACGCGAGTGATCATGAAAAACATGCGCTATCGAACACGATTTGTATTCCGCCTTGAACAGGTTGGCACTATCTCCTTGCAGTCGTGCAAGCAGGAGCTGATTGCACTTTCATCAACAGCCGAGTTCATCGCTGCCTGCACTGCAACGAAGGAAGGTCTTTACCTTCGTGAGTTACTCAGTAAAGAAGAGCTATTGGATGTACCTCAGTTTCAGCTCTTCTACGACAACCAGTCCGCAATTCGTATTGCGAACAAGTCAGGTTTTGCCAACTGAACCAAGAACATTTTGCTGCGTTACTTTTTTCGTCAAGGACGAAATTGAGCAAGGAAAGTTACAGCTTGCCTACTACCCCACGAGCAAAATGGCCGCAGACTTCTTGACCAAACGTTTGCCGGGACCGAAGTTCCAGTACTGCATGCTGCTAATTGGACTCAGCCACGTCATCAACATCAACAACATCGAACTCTAGAATTGAAGGGGAGTGTTGAAGTGAAGAAAATGACTTCGACCAAGTTATTACAGTATTATCGTAGCATTGCTTTGGATTAATGTTACTATAGCAAGTATCCTTTCGCAAGTGTACCAGGTAGTAGCGCGAATAGTCTCGTGACTATTCGCGTGACACAACAGTAGAAGTACCGGTTGAGGGGCGACTCAATAAAAGAGAAGTACCGTTTGTTGCTTTGCTATATGTACCTTGTGTTCTATAGTGAAGCCATCCATTCTCAGTTCTACTTGGTGACAACTATGTCGACCCCCTTGGCCTAGGCTTCTAAGCGTAGGCCCTACCAAAACCCTAGAATGATGTACCCCCTAAGGCTAAACCCACTATAGCCTACAGAATATAAACATATACAATGTTTGACACACCCCCATAGGCTAAGTGGGAGACAACATGCGCTGACCTGCAGAAGCTTGTGCTCCTTGGAGGCGATGGCATCGACATCCTCCACCTGCACGCTCATAATGAGCAAGAAGAGGCAAGGGCGAGGAGATGTGGGAGAGAGAGAGAGAGGAGAGGTGAGGGAGAGGAGGGGTGAGGGAAAGGAGAGGCGGGAGAGGGCAGAGGTAGTAAATGCGCCGCCACAACATTTTTTTGTGCACCAATGAGCAAGGGAGGGAAGGCACGCAGCAAGGCAAATGGCGTGCGTCTGACATGTTGCGTCTGACATGCAAATAACATCCACTGCTTGATAAGCATGGCCAACACATTTCGCCCGAAACTTACCAGTTGGAGTCAACACATTCGGTCTGGAAGACATCCTCGTGTCCCTCCTAGCCCTCCCCCAATGCCACTATCTCCCCTGTTGGTGATGCAAACTGCCACGCTGCCGCCACCAACTGGGACAGAGAGGAGACAGGGGGAGAAGAGGGCAGGCGTGTATGGAGATATGACGTGGTGCCAGCTCGACCATGTGAAAATTAGCCTTGCACGGGCCAAGAGCAATGCCCTTCTAGATTATTGCGTACGTGCGCACAAGCTGCACCCCAAACCATGAGTCCTTCAAGTGATTGCAACGACGTCTGAGAACGTAGAAGGCTTGATCAGGGATAGCTTCCCCGAGATGATTGTCACAGAAGGTCCAATCTGATGTCCGATGCCCTATGTTTCGTACCATATATCCCAGTGCAGCTGTATCGTTTGTCATATATAATTGTGACAGCTGGAACCATTTCCTAATGTACATGCAATGCAACCTACAATGAGCGTGCTGCAGGGCGTGAAGACAAATAAGGTCCTGGCTCATTCATTTGCTATATAGGTGTATCTGAACTTGGGGAACAGATTTGCGCCGATGTTGATAGCATGAAGAATGAGTTGTAACAATTTCTAGCATCATTGGGGTCTTTTCTCAGCCCAACACCCCCCACCCTTCCATTTCCATCCCAGCCTGGTGCCTAAGCTAAGGCACACATCAGAGCAGAGCCACATCATCATCCATGGCGCCGCCCTCGAGGGCGGCAGCGGCGACGATGGTGTCTGCCTCTGCGGTGGCGTTGGCAGCAGTGGAGGCACGCAGCACAGAAGAAGAACGTCCTGCTGCACATACCCCCTGCTGCAGCCTGGCCGTGGCGGCGAAGTGGTGGGCTGTCGAGCACCATGTGCAGGATGGGGATGAGGCACGCGCTGTAGCGCGGATGCGGTACCATCCTGCTCGCATGGTGGGTGCATGGGGGTGGCGTTGCGCGATATCATCTTCTCCAACACCGCTACCAGCATCTGGAGGGGCGAGGCGAGGTGGGGAAACGGTGAATATCTGAGTCGACACACAAACATTGGCCAGCACGTTGCGCGCTGTCATCTCCTCCAACACCGCTACCAGCATTTGGAGGGGGGGGCAAAGGGGAGCAGGGGGGAGGGAGGGGATTTTTGAGTCAGCTCAAAGTTACTTTGCAAAGAGATGAGAGGGGATGTTGAGTCGTCTCCTCCAACCCGCATCTCAGGGGGGGCGGGGGGTGAGAAGGGGGGCGGAAGGAGGGTGGGTGGAGGAGGGGAGAGAGGGAGGGAAAAAGCAGACTCTCCATGGAAGGGGGCATCTCCTTGCTAGTAGCAAGGAGCACTGATATCAGGATCTTAATGGGGGGAGCAGAGAGCGAGAGGAGAGAAGGGGTTCAGAGGGGTAGGAACACTATACATGATGATACTTTGTTAGTCTCACCTTAGCTCGCATTCCCTCGCTTGTAATAGTCACTTAATCAATACAAGGACCATTAGAGAGGAGAGAAGGAAGAAAGGGATTTTGCGAAACAACACCAAACCCCCTCGTTCCCTGTCATGCCCTCCCCCCCTCCATATCCCCCTTCTCCTCTCTCGCCCGTCCCCGTGCACATGTGTGGCTCCAGCAAGACATGACCTCTAGTTTCTCCAGCAACGCGTCCTGCATGGCGGCTCTGAGAGCAGCAGATGACCGGATAGACACTAGTTTTCCCTCCCCTGCCCGCCCTCCCCTCTCCCCCCCTCCCCTCCCTCCCTCTCACCCCCTCCCCCTTCACCCCAAATCTCCCCTCTGCTGTCTCGGCCATGTCGCCGCTGTCTGACCTCGGGTTTCTCGAACGACGCATCCTGCATGGCGGCTGGGAGGGCAGCCGAGTGTTGGAAGTGCCGCAGCTTGTTGTCATGCACTGCCCGCCGCGGTTGCGGGGGGCCACTTGGTAGGCCACAATGCGGGGCGCTGCCGCATGATGACCAGACCAGCTCTTGTTGTGTCGCTGCTGCCATGCGAGGCATCATGGAGCATGCCCATGTCACTCTGGTGTCGTTGCCCATGGGAGGACAAACGAGAGGGTTTGGGAGTAGCTGTGGTCAGTTCGGCATTGGCAGCAATGCTGGTGGCAGCAGATGGTGGCAGCACTTGGTGCTCGGTGCATGTGGTGGAGCATGCGCTGATGCACTCGACACACAAGACAGGGAGACGGTGGTAGGAGGGACGAAATCAGTCACCAAGAGACAAGATTGCAGCAGCAGCAACAGCAGCACCCACCGCAGCCTCTTCCATCCGTCTGGCCACAGACCAGGTGTCTGAACATGTGCAGGCATGTGACGGTCTTCTGGTGGGTGCCCAGTATGTACAGTGGCCGCGAGTGCAATGTTACTGACGCTGCTGGGGTCAGCGCTGCGCTGCCGCTGGTGCTGCTGTCGTGCTGCTGTAAAGTCAATTGTGAGGAGGGGAACGGAGTGGTTGATGCCCCGCCCTTCAGCATGTCCCATATTGCCACCTGCCGACCCGCTGTGAGCAGCAGAGAAGGGAGGGGAGGGGAAGGAGGGGAAGGGGAGGGGAGGGGAGGGGATGGGAGGGGAGGGGAGGGGAGGGGAGGAGAGTGGAGGGGAAGGGAGGGGAGGGGAGTGGAGGGGAGGGGAGGGGAGTGGAGGGGAAGGGAGGGGAGGGGAGAGGAAGGGAGGGGAGGGGAGGAAAGGGGAGGAAAGGGGAGGAGAGGGGAGGAGAGGGGAGGAAAGGGGAGGAGAGGGGAGGAGAGGGGAGGAGAGGGGAGAAGAGGGGAGGAGAGGGGAGGAGAGGGGAGGAGAGGGGAGGCACCACCGCATGAGCACTCTGTGGGTCGTGGCGCTCCCACATGCACAAGGGAAGTCCCGGTGAGGGGAGAGGATAGATGGGGGCTAGAGGGGAGGAGCGGGTAAGGGGAAGAGGAAGAGGGGCTTAGGAAGAGGAGCCTGCCTGAACCAATCCCCGCATTCAGAATGGTAGGTGGACGGTGAAGGGATGGGACAGCGGGGTGGAGACACTGCAGGGAGCTGAAGAGGCAGAGGCTGTCACTACCCCAATGGCACGCAACATAAGATCGAGGTGAAGTGCGGAAACAGCAAAGTAGGCGAGGAATCAAGTGCGTCGCATATGCACATGAGTTCAAGAGGGGACGAAGCAGTAGAGACGGGGGAAGATGCGGACGAGGTGTGTGAGAGGCGAGCGGTGTAGGCTGTGGCTGGGTGACCACCAGGCGGCGAGGAACACTGAACTTGATTGCAGCTGTCCTCTGCTCAGGCGCAACAAGGAGCTGCAGCAGAGGTGGAAACCAAGGGGAGGCACGGGTGCAGTGCAGCAATGCATGTGCGGGTAGGTGCAATGCAACCCTGAACCGAACATGCTCTCACACACTCAGACCATCTCAGCTCCCTCTTGATCCCACCCCCCTGGGCCCACGCCCCCCCCTCACCCTTCCCCCCCCTCTCCTCCCCTCCTTCCAGTCGCCTTCTTCCTGTACTTCCGGCGCCCCCCTGACCTGCACGATGCCCCTGACTGACCTGCGCGATTTTACACGTGGGCGCTATAAGAACACGCGGCGGTGTACGCTTCTAGCCCTCTCCCCCCCCCCTTTTCCGCCCTCCCTCATCCCGCGCGTGCGCTGCGCCGATGTGAGGCTCGCGGCCAGGAAATGCGAGCGCAGGGCGGAGGACAGGGAGAGCGGAACAGAGATGGCACCGGAGGAACAGCGTGCGGAAGCGGCGGACGGGGAAGCCCCACACGGGGAGAGGGGGTGTGCGGAGTGATTTGTGGGGAAGGTGTGGGGGATGGAAGGAGTGGAGGATGGGGAAGGATTTGGGGGAAATGAAGAGAGGAGTGCTAAGAGTGGGAGCGGGCGGGAGGCGGCGGGGAGGGAAGGGTGGCGCACGCGAGTGGAGGTGGTGGCGGCGAAGTGGAAGGGCGCGGAGGGGCAGAAGTCGATGGTCGTCAGGTTGCCTATCAGCGGCTCCGCCGCTTTTCGCCGGAAGCTGCGCCAAAACCAGGCTTCCGCCGTCTCCGCGGGCGCCGCCGGCGCATAGCGCTTGGGCGTGACTTTGAGAAAGTCGCCCACCACCTGCTGGTCGCCCATTGGTCGACGCCTATATAATGGACGTCTCGTAGGAATTTTCAGTTTTCGAGCAAGTCGCCGAACAATGAGTGAGCCGCGTAGTCGCGCGCGCAATGGGACGCGCGTGGAAGCGACGAGCGTGACCGAGATACGAGCAGGTGCGACGCGGAAGGCAGGCGGGGGAGTGAATGCAGGGAGGAAATGACGGATCGCCCTGTTTTCAAGTTTCCGATTCCTTAGGGCAGTGGCTTTGACACCGCCTCGCTTCTCCGCTCGCTTCTCCGCATGCTTTATATGAGCTATTGCGGTACTGGTACAGTGGCGCTACTTCGTTATGAAGTGGCGCGTTGGGAGAGAACCTTCGGGAATGTTATATTAAACTTTCGGTTATTCCAACACTCCCCTTCATTCCTGAAGGTGAGCCACGTGGGATTTCTTCGAGATCCCTCAGAGGTCGGCGCAGTGCTGAAACTTCGGACGTGGCAGTTTCTTCGTCAGGAAATCTGCTACCATGTCACCAGTTGGGCAGTACGTGAGTTTGACTTTGCCCTTGTCAATCTCGTCCTTGCCGAAGAAGTAACGGAGTGCGATGTGTTTCGTGCGGTTCACGAAACCAGGCTTGTTCGCGATCTTGATCGCGCTCTGATTGTCGCAGAGTAACGTGAAGTGCCCGTTCATCGTCACCTTCGCTTCTTGCAGGAGCTCCATTAGGTAAAACCCTTCGCGAATAGCTGCGCTAGCGGCGACAAACTCAGCTTCGGCTGACGAAAGAGCGATGAGTTCCTGCTTCTGGGAGATCCACGAGATGAGACCAGCAGGTTGGAGTTGAAATACGAAGCCTGTGCGGGAGCGTCTGTTGTCAGCATCTCCTGCATGGTCCGCATCTACGTAGCCGTGGAGCTGTAGGGTAGCCGTTAGATTAGCTTCGTAGGTGAGTCCGACGTCGGGAGTAGAAATGAAGTACTGGAGTGCTCGGCGTAGGTCTAGCAGATTCTCCCCTTCAGGTCGACGCAGGTACTGCGCGAGCTGGCTTGCACGTGACGGCGGCGAACAGGAGACACCCCATCTGTTGCTGATAGAGCCGATGATCTTCGATGGAGAGCGGAGTGGTGTCGGGTTCGTGATTAGGAGGAGGAGTGCGAAAGGGGGTGGTGAGGTTGATCGGGGCGATGGCGAATTTCTTCGCGAGCGTTTCCGCGTACTTAGCGGCGGAGAGGTGGATGGAGGTGGTGGACTGGGTGATGTTGAGTCCCAGGAACTGTGTGACGTCGTGGTTGATCGTCACCTCGAGCTTCTCCTTGATTTCCTCCTCGAACCTGTCAAGCAGCTTCGTGTCGTCGCCAGTGTAGAGTAGATCGTCGACGTAGGCGACGAGGAGGATGAATTTGCCACGTGATTCCTTCCGGTACATGCCTTGGTCGTGCGGCAGCTGAACGAATCCGAGTTTTGTGAGAACAGTCTGCAGGTACTGCTGCCAGAGACGAGGTGCTTTCTTGATGCCGTAGAGAGATTTCTGGAGGAGGCAAACGACGCCGTCGCTTTCCTCGAATGCTTGAGGTTGTTTGATGAAGATGATGGCGTCGACGAGTGCGTACAGGAACGCACTTCCAACGTCGATCTGCCGAAGTGGACGCTGCTTGACGGCCGCGATGCAGATGAGAATGCGGACGGAGGTGTGTCTCCCGACGGGCGCGAAGGTCTGGTCGTAATCCACCTGGTGAGTTTGCTCGAAGCCGCACACCACCCATCTCGCTCTATACTTGTCAATTGAGCCATCCGCGAGTGTTCTGATTCGGAAGACCCACTTGCCGCTGAGAATCTTCCTCCCCTTTGCAGATGATCGGGGAACGAGCTTCCACGTTCCGCGGCGCTTTAGTGCTGCTACTTCTGCTGCCATGGCTGCCTTCCATTTTTCGCTGTTAGGGCCGGACAGGGCCTGACGCATAGTGGTAGGTTCCTTGGATGAGGTATGGCGAACAGCAACGGCGAGCCCAAAGATGCGGAGGCCAGTTTCGTTGGTCTTCTCGTAGACGAGGCGATCGTAGTCGTGGAAGCTGGTAACTTCGACAACGTCGTCGTCGCTGTCGTGACCGGTGCAGATGGTGTCTTGCGAGGGGTTTCTCGGTGGTAACTCGGCATCCGGAGATCGGCGCGCTGTACTGTTGTAGTTGTGGGCTTCGCGAGTTGTATCGTCAGGATCAAATTGAGAAACAAGGATGTAAGTTGGAGTCTGGAATGGGCTTGTAAGGGGGATGTAAGGAAAGGAGTCGATTGGTGTGTTGTCAGTTGCGTCTGCGTCCTCTGCCAGGTCAGCCTCATCCTGTGACGTGGCGAAGCTGCGGTGCCCCTCGAAAACCCTCTCCGGTGCTTTGTCAGCTTCGCGGTGTTCCTTGAACAGTGGCAGGGTCAGCTTCTCGTAGAAGATGCGGTATCCTGTGTCGCGTAGTCCAGCACGATCCACGCCTTGTATTCCTTTTCAATCCCGAGGTGAATGCCCCAGCGTGCCAGATCAGCAAACTTTCCGGTCCTTGCTGTGTGTGGCCTGTACTGTACCATGCAGCCAAACACCTGAAGGAGACGCGTGTCAGCTTTTCTGCCCGTCCAGGCTTTGTAGGGCGAGGTGCTGTTCTCGAGGCTTCGGGAGGACAGCAAGTTGTGCAGCCGAACAGCGTGGTTCATCGCAAAAGGCCAAGATTTTGTTGGGATGGCAGAATGCTTCATCAGGGCCCTCATCCTTGTGGCGAGGCTTCTGTTTGTCCATTCTGCTACTCCTTGTTGCTCGTGAGCGTAGGGCAGGGACACTAGGTGCACAATCCCTTTCTTCGCGAAGAGTTCCTTGAACTCAGTTGAGAAGAACTCCGCACCCCCGTCTGTCTGGAAGCTTTTCAGCTTTAGTCCTGACTGACGCTCAGCGCGCTTCATCCAGGCTATGAAGCAGTTGAAAGCTCGTGAGCGGTAATCGACGTTGATGGCCCAGACGTGGCGCGTGCACGCGTCGATGAAGGTTATCGTATTTTTCTCGCCATCGAGCCCTTCTTGGCTAAGTATCATGAAGTCGCTGTAAACTTTCTCGAGTGGTTCGTAGCGTTCGTAGCCAGGAGGTAAGTCGGGGAAGGGCTTGTGAGCGAGTGACGCGGCGGGGAAGACGAGGCATGGTGGGTCGTCCGAAGTTGCCGTGAGGGTGCCGCCTCTGGGAAGTAGCAGTGCTTCCGAGTCGAAGACTCCGGCCTTGATGGAGTTTTTGAGTGTGACGTGTGAGGGGTGTCCGAGTCGTTGATGCCAAATTTCTGGTTCTGCGTGGTAACCGACGGTCTTCTGATAATATTTGTTTCTCTCCGCTTCGTCTCGCTGCTCCGTTTCAGGTCCTTTGTCGGTGGCGGCGCTCCCATCTACTGCGAAGGCTCAGGCGGAGACTCGTTCCAGAACGGCGTCGGGAATTCCGGCGATGTCGTCAGTGTTGGCGGTGTGAATAGGGTCGCCGGTGACGAGTGGTCGGGAGTATTGCAGAGTCGAGGGAGATTGGCACGAGTTTGGAGGAGCAAAAAACAAAACAGCCACAAGCGGGAACTGCAGCAGCAGACTGCGATAGAAGCTGAAACACAAGTTGAAAGAAGAGCTTCCCTGGATACAGTGTACGTACCCCCTGCTGCAGCTTGGGCGTGAGAGGAAAGACAGACACAACTAGAAAGAAGAGCTTGCTTGAAAGAGCAACTCCCTTCAGCACTACATCCTGCTGCTTCAGCACATATTCGCCCCCCTCCTTACGTACCCCCTACTACAACTTGGGCGTGGCGGCGACGTGCCATCTCCTTCCTTCACGGCATCTCTGAGAGCAGCAGATGACCAAACAGACATACATGCACCCACCACACTAGTCCCCCCTTCCCTCCCCTTCCTCTCCCCCCCTTCCCGTAAATGACCTCTGGTTTCTCGAGTGTCGTCCTGCGTGGCGACTGGGAGGGCAGCGGAGTGTTAGAGGCGCCGCAGCTTGTTGTCGTGCACCGCCCCCCAGGGGTTCTCATGCGCCGCCGCTTGCGCTGCTAGGGGCTCTCATGCGCCGCCGCAACTACGGGGAGCCACTGCGCAGTCCGCCACCATGTGGGGCGCCAGATCTTTCTCGGCCGCTGCTTCCGTGCTGTCCTGCAAGGCATCATGGAGCATGCCCATGTTGTTGTTGCTGCATACACTGTCCTGTCACATGCACGCGCGTGCACTGCGCAACTAAGCAGTCCTCTGCCTGGCGTGCATGCACATGGGAGGGGGGTGGTTGCAGGGATGGGATCGGGACAGAGCTGGGCGAGGGGAGTGGGATGCGGTGCTGCTTGCCGTGGGTCCTACATGCATGCCCTTGCACTGTGCCACTTGGTAGTAGTCCCCAGCCTGGCCCATATGGCCCACATCGCCAAGTGTGCAACGGGACACATGGGGAACAGGAGTGCGAGGTTGGGAGGAGAAGAGAGAAGGTTTGGGAGTAGGTGTGGTAAGTTGAGCAGTGGCAGCGATGCTGGTGGCAGCGATGCTGAGGGATGAAGGGAATAGAGAGGGCGAGTAAGAAGAGATGATGTTGTGAGGCTTGTGGGAAGAGCAGTGTGTGAGGTGGCAGGTGGTGTAGGAATGGTGAAAAGGTATGGTAGATGGTGGGACTAAACAGATGGACACTACAAGTGGAGAGTCGAGGGGCAGACGTAATGTGAGAGGCGTTACGAGTGGAGAGTGGAGGCAAGCCGTAGAGAGACGAGAGCATGCGATGTGCAGCAGGAGCAGGAGGAGGAGGGGTAATGGAAGGCAGGGAGGAAGGGTGAACAGGTCAAAGAGGTCGGAAATGGGAGAGAATGAGCGGCAACACGGAGGGCTGGGTAGTTGGAAGCATAATGTACGTGTCGATGGGTGGATTGGTGGGTGGGCCGGTTGGTGCATGTGCAAGTGAAGTGAGCATGGGCGTGCATGCATACCCCGTGTCTCAACACTGTGCGGGTCGTGGCGCCCACACATGGAGGGACAGCTGGGAAGGAGAGGAGGACAGAGCAGGGGGCAGGAGGGGGGGAATGTGAAGAGGAGGAGGGGGGAGAATGGGGTTGAAGGAACAGGACAGTGGGGTGGATACAGCCCTGGCGGGTATGAAAGGAGAACATCAACACCCCACTTGCAAGTAGCATATGGTCGAGAAGAGTGGGGAAACAGCATCGTGCATGAGGCACATGAGGCGGGGAGGGGACGGAACAGTAGAGGCCAAGGTCCGGGGAACAGCAGCAGGTGCGGAACACCAAGGTGATTCACTCACGGGTAGAGGGCAGCAGGCAGGGCACGTGCGGATAGGAGAATGCAGGGTAGGTGCACATGCAGACACGAACATGCCCTCGCCACCTCACACCCTCCGTTCCCCTCAGCTCCCCCATAAGCCCGCTGCCACTGCCCACAGCCCCCCTCACCCCCGCTTTGCCCCCTCCCTGCCGTTGTGCTTCCCACTTTCCCCTCCCCCATGACAGCCCCTGTGCCCGGCCTGTGTCCCACCCCTTAGCGCCTGCCCTGACTGACCTGCACGATGCCTCTGTTCCCGCCCGCCACCGGCACAGGGGGCCAGGGGAGACGTCTCAAAAGTAGCCATCCGCCCTGAACCGCCTGCTGTACGCCTGCACAACCCCCCGTGCGGCAGGGGAGGGAAGGGAAGGGAGGGGAGGGGAGGGGAGGGGAGGGGAGGGGAGGGCAGGGGAGGGGAGGGGAGGGCAGGGGAGGGGAGGGGAGGGCAGGGGAGGGGAGGGGAGGGGGGGGTGTGAGGGGAGGGGAGGGGAGGGGAGGGCAGGGGAGGGGAGGGGAGGTGGGGGTGTGAGGGGAGGCCAAGGGCAAAAGCGGACAGGAGAGAGGCGCGGGAAGGGAGGATACGGGAGGGGAGGGGAAAGGAGAGGGTGGTTGGGAGGGAAGGGAAAGGGAGGTGCAAAGACGGGAGAATGAGGGAGGAGGGGAGGAGGTCGACCGGGAGAGAAGGATCCGGTGCGGCAGTGCGATGAAGGGGTGTGCTCACAACCGGAGGAGCAGTGTGAGTACATGACAAACGCTAGCACGGATGAGCTTTGAAAAACTGACAGGCCAGACACGGATGGGATGGGAGATTATGGAGGGGAAAGAGAGTGGCCTCACAAGTCCTTTGAAGCGAGAGAAGGTTCCCTGGTGACGCCACTGTACACCGTCACCTGCCATGGGGTTCGTGGCGTCACAGGGGGGTTGGGAGTTGCACGTGTTAACAACGCGCACAGGTCGAGACTGAGAGGAAAACAGGTGGTACAGGCGAGTGGAGGTGGTGGCGGCGAAGTGGAAGGGCGCGGAGGGGCAGAAGTCGATGGTCGTCACGTTGCCGATCAGCGGCTCCGCCGCTTTTTGCCCGAAGCTGCGCCAAAACCCCGCTTCCGCCGTCTCCGCGGGCGCCGCCGGCGCATAGCGCTTGGACGGACTCTTGAGTTTGCAAACTAGTCGAGTCACCGGAAAGCGAGAGAGCAGGAGCGTGGCTCGCGCAGTGAGACGCGAAGAGAAGTGACGAACGCGAGTGAGGTATGAATTGGTGCGAAGCGGAAGCCACGTGCGACGGTGCGGTGCGGATGTTGAGAGCAGTGAAGGCTGACGGGCACAATGGAATGGAAGTTGGAATCATCTTTCGCAGAGTGAAGTCAACTGAAAGTCAAAGCGTGTAGTTCAGCAGAGGTCCTTCACGGAGTGGTTGAAACAGAGTTACAACACAACATGATGGAATCAGTAGAAATTATGGTAGATCTAAACATCTATAAGAACATGTCTAAGAAAACCTGCAGCACAATTCCCCCCATTTCCTATCTGGTAGGCATGGCATAGGATAGAGCTATCAGAGAGGACCCGGTGTCACGATCATGCCAGGAAAGATGTCTCTGATCAATGCTTCAACATCTTCTGCATCTGTTGCAATCGCCTGCAGCCACTTGAGCCCCTTGAGCCACTTGACACCGGCAGCAGTAATCTTAGCATCCCACACACCCAGCTTCTCCAGTCGCTTCAAATTCCTCAGGTGCTTCATGCCGGAATCGGTCACTCCTGGAGGCAAGACGAGGAGCTTTAGTGCAGTAAGCGTACTCAAGCGCAGCAGTCCCTCCTCGGTCACTGCAGTGTCACTCAGAGCGAGCGATTCTAATGCTGTCAGCTTGCCCAGATGCACCATGCTGGCATCGGTGACCGCCTCGCAGCCACCTAAGAGCAGTTCCACGAGTGACGTCATCCCCTGCAGCTTCGCTACTCCCACATCCGATATCTTGGTGTTGAACAGATTAAGCGCGCGAAGATTTTTCAAACTGGAAATGCCTTCAAGAGCCGCGTCTGTTGTGGCTGTATTCTGTAAAGTCAGACATTTGAGAGCCGTGAGAGAAAAGAGCCCTTTCACCCCTGCCTCAGTGAAGCCGGAGGAGTCGTTGAGGTTGAGTGTGGTTAGAGAAGAAAAGGAGGCGACTCGTGCAAGAGCAGCGTCGGTGAGGAGGGAGACGCCACTCAGGTCCATGAGAGCCATGTCTGGAACCGCTTCGCTCCACAGCAACATCAGTGCCTGCAGCCACGGACAGCCGGAAGATGCAATATGGAGATGAACTGGCGCGAGCAATGGGTTATGGTACGCAAAGCATTTTGGCAACGAGAAGGCTTCACACATGCAATGCAACCATGCGTGCCGCACGTGCTGCAGGTGCTAAAGGCAAATCTGTTTTATCAACGCACAAAAGCAAAGAAATTCCGGAACTCACCTCCCACGTCTTGCTTCCGGAGGCGCTCGTTTTCTCCAGCGCTTTCACTCGCGCCCTCAGGTTCTGCAGTTCAGCCTTTGTGTTGCACACTGCACCATCCTTCAACCCCAAAGCTTTGCCATCCATTTCCACCTCTTCCAGCTTTATTACAACCGCACCACCGTTAGCAGTCAGCGCACGCCCAGCGCCCGCAGCAGCATCAGCCACTCCCCTATTTGTGCCTGCCCCTTCGTCCCTCTTCCGCCTCTTCCCCTCCCGTCTCTCCTCCCCTGCCCGCCCTTCCCCGCTGCCCTCCTCGCGATCGGCGCGGCTCTTCTCCGCGCGGCCGTCCTTGATGGAGGGGGGAGGGGGGAGGAGGGAGGAGGGAGGAGGGAGGAGGGAGGGGGGAGGAGGGAGGGGGGAGGAGGGAGGGGGGAGGAGGGAGGGGGGAGGAGGGAGGGGGGAGGAGGGAGGGGGGAGGAGGGAGGAGGGAGGAGGGAGGAGGGAGGAGGGAGGAGGGAGGAGGGAGGAGGGAGGAGGGAGGAGGGAGGAGGGAGGAGGGAGGAGGGAGGAGGGAGGAGGGAGGAGGGAGGAGGGAGGAGGGAGGAGGGAGGAGGGAGGAGGGAGGAGGGAGGAGGGAGGAGGGAGGAGGAGGAGGAGGAGGAGGGAGGAGGGAGGAGGGAGGAGGGAGGAGGGAGGAGGGAGGAGGGAGGAGGGAGGAGGGAGGAGGGAGGAGGGAGGAGGGAGGAGGGAGGAGGGAGGAGGGAGGAGGGAGGAGGGAGGAGGGAGGAGGGAGGAGGGAGGAGGGAGGAGGGAGGAGGGAGGAGGGAGGAGGGAGGAGGGAGGAGGGAGGAGGGAGGAGGGAGGAGGGAGGAGGGAGGAGGGAGGAGGGAGGAGGGAGGAGGGAGGAGGGAGGAGGGAGGAGGGAGGAGGGAGGAGGGAGGAGGGAGGAGGGAGGAGGGAGGAGGGAGGAGGGAGGAGGGAGGAGGGAGGAGGGAGGAGGGAGGAGGGGCGGGGGAGCTTACGGCGGCAGCAGGTAGTGGTGGCGGAGTGTCTGCCAGAGAGCTCGGCTGGGCTTGTGGCAGCGCTGGTGCACTGGCTGTAGGAGGATGTCTCTGGGGATGGGAGTGGGGAGAAGGAGGGGGAGGGGAGGAAGGGGTGCTAAAGAAGAGGCAATTGGTACACATTCCCCTCCCTTGCTAGGCATGCCACCACAGCCCTTGTGCACATTACTATCACACATAGGAGAACACACATTACATCGTCCTATGATCATCCCACCACCACTTTATAGGCGAATCAGCATCCACCCCTGCCCTCACAAACTCATTCGGCACCTCCCTTCGAACACATTCGCCCACCCAATGCCAGGCTCTCTGCCATATACCCAGACACAACACATCTGCCCAGTGTAAAGCACAGAGACCAAGCAAGATACGATCATGAGCACATGCTTGAACAGGAGCAGCTAAGGATGCGGCCTGCGCTTGCATGGTGTGGAGGAGGAGAGAGGCAGGCACAAAAATACATACGCACACAAACGAGCACCATCCATGTGTCCAAAGTCTACGCCAGTCACCTCCGCCCCCAGCAGCAGCAGCGCCCCCTCCTGCGGCGAATGCATCCCCTCCCCCTCCCCCCTGTTTGACATCTCCCTTCGCCCCCCCCCTCTCCTCTCGTTCCCCCTTCCCTCTCCCATACACCCCCACCTGGCTCATCCACTGCGGCAGCAGTTCAAAGTCACCGCCAGCAGCTCATCCTCATGCCAACACAACGCACTGCGCGAAGGGGCCGCTGCTGCTGCCAGCACTGCCAACAGCAGCAGACGCGCCAGCGCCAGCAGAGGAGTTACTGGCAGCGCCAGGACCGGGGCGAGGGCAGGTGGAGGGCGTGCGGGGGCGAGCGAGCAAGGGGTCGTGCAGGCCTTTGTTCCAACACGCCGCCACGCCACTCAACTCGCCCTCACAGTTGACTCGCCTAGATGCACAGGGGTCAGCGCTCCCCGCTTTGCCCTGCGCCTGTGCCACCACCCTCCCTTGCAATCAGATGCCTCCCAACCGCCGCCCCCATCCGCCCCCCCCGCTCCTCTCCCTTGAACCGCCCCTCCCACCCTCGTTTCCACTATCAATGCTGCTGCTCACACTGCTGCTGCTGCTGCTGCTCCTCATGCCACTGCTCCTCATGAGATTCTCCTGTCTTAGCCAAGCTGCTGGTCCCCCCTTTCCCCACGGCCTCTCTTGTGCGTCCCCCAGACCCCTTGTCCTTCCCCGCGCCAATTGCGCCACTCTTCCCAGCTCCCGCATCTCCTCCGCCCACCGCTGGCGGTTTTCGTGCCCCCGCCCACGCCGATGTGCGCCGCTTTGGTTCCCCCCTTGGCGCTTCCCGGCTTCTGCTGCGCCTTACTCTTGGTCGTGGCCACTTTCGATTGCGCGGAACGACGTGCGGGTGCGCAGTCTGACTTTTCACGGAAACATGTGCCTGTGCCGCTCCCACTTCACGAACCCGAGGACAAGCAGCAGCACTAGCAGCCACGACCCGATCCGCCGACCGCCGCCGCTGCTGGTGGGGTCGGGAAAGAAGAAGCGGAGCCACGAGTTGCGGGAGGAGCGGTGCGCGCTGGCGCCGTTGCACGAGGAGGAGGGCTGCGGGGGGCTCTTGCGCTCCCTGATGGGGTGCTGCTGCGGGCGACTTGAGGGCAGCTCCCCCCTTGTTAAATGACGCCCCAAGCCACATGCTGCGCCGCTGCACGTGGACGGGAACCTGGAACACGCGGGTGCTTGATACGCGTCTCATGGGAAACAGTGGTGTGGGAGAGGCAACATGCGTGTGGGAGAGGCAACATGCGTGTGGGAGAGGCAACATGCGTGTGGGAGAGGCAACATGCGTGTGGGAGAGGCAACATGCGTGTGGGAGAGGCAACATGCGTGTGGGAGAGGCAACATGCGTGTGGGAGAGGCAACATGCGTGTGGGAGAGGCAACATGCGTGTGGGAGAGGCAACATGCGTGTGGGAGAGGCAACATGCGTGTGGGAGAGGCAACATGCGTGTGGGAGAGGCAACATGCGTGTGGGAGAGGCAACATGCGTGTGGGAGAGGCAACATGCGTGTGGGAGAGGCAACATGCGTGTGGGAGAGGCAACATGCGTGTGGGAGAGGCAACATGCGTGTGGGAGAGGCAACATGCGTGTGGGAGAGGCAACATGCGTGTGGGAGAGGCAACATGCGTGTGGGAGAGGCAACATGCGTGTGGGAGAGGCAACATGCGTGTGGGAGAGGCAACATGCGTGTGGGAGAGGCAACATGCGTGTGGGAGAGGCAACATGCGTGTGGGAGAGGCAACATGCGTGTGGGAGAGGCAACATGCGTGTGGGAGAGGCAACATGCGTGTGGGAGAGGCAACATGCGTGTGGGGAGAGGCAACATGCGTGTGGGAGAGGCAACATGCGTGTGGCAAAGGAGGTGGAGAGGGAGCGAAACATTTGAGACCGAGGAAGGTGTGGAGGAGGTGCGTGAGAGGTGAGCGGTGTGGGCTGTTGGTGAGCGACCAGGCGGCAAGGATACTGGCTGTCCCCTGATCTGGTGCACGGGGAACAGCAGCAGATGCAGAAACCCAAGGGGAGGCACGAATGCAGCGCAGCAGGGCATGTGCAAAACCGGACATGCTCCCACACTTTGCGTTCCTCTCTACTTCCTCTGAAGTAAAACCCGCCCCCCATAGCCCCACGCCCTCCCTCACCTCACCTCGCCCCCTCCCTGCCTCTTTCTGTTTCCCACTTTCCCCTCCCAATCCCCTGAGACAGTGCAAGCCCCCCTGACCTGCACGATGCCTCTGTCCCCACCCGCCACCAGCAGCTTGCCATCCGCCCTGAACCGCCCGCTGTACGCCTGCACAGCCCCTCGCGCGGCAGGGGAGGGAGGGGAAGGGGGGGGAGGGGAGCAGAGGGGAAGGGGAAGGGGAAGGGGAAGGGGAAGGGAAAGGGGAGGGGAGGGGAGGGGAGGGAGTGGAGGGAAAGAAAGGGAGGGAGAGGAGGAGAGGGGACGGGAGCACGAAGAGATGTGGTTACAAGAAAAGGAGTAGTGTTGAGTACGTGACGAACGCTAGCACAGATGTGAGGATTGGACAACTGAGAACAGGCCAGACACTGATGTGAGCTATGTGGCTAAAGACGCTCAGGGCGTCTAGCGTCCTCCGCCTGGACGCACGCCAAGACGCAGGACGCTTGGTGGATTTTTTTTCGGGCTGCCCGAAAAACAAATCGCCCTCGCGCAATTTTGACACCCCCCCACCCATTTCGACCTTAAAAAACAGGACCTAAAATTTTTGGTGTGATGTGTGATGTGATGTGACTCTTGGGAAACGTTTTTATGTGGAAAACGTTTTGGGGGGGGGGGGGGGGGGGGGGGGAGGGGGGAAATTGCCTCAAATGTGAGCTACGTCCTTCTCCCCCGCCTCCCGATGCCCTATAACCGTTTTGTTTTGCTTCCCAGAGGTTTTTTTTTTCCTGCCCGGGCTTGCGTCTTTTTCAGTGTCTAACATGCCCTAAGTGAGCGTCAAGCGTCTTGGACGCAGCGTCTAGAAGCAAGCATCCAAGACGCTAGACGCGTCTTTAGCCACATAGCTGCCCACGCAGAGGAGGAGGATGAGGAGGAGAAGGAAGAGGAGGAGGAGGAGGAGGAGGAGGAGGAGGAGGAGGAGGAGGAGGAGGAGGAGGAGGAGGAGGAGGAGGGACAGGGGCGAAAGGAGAGATGGGGGGGAAAGGGAGGCCTCGCAAGTCCTTCGAAGCGAGAGAAAGTTATAAGTGGATTTAACACTGTGTGGCCGTTGAGTTGTCTAAGCATTGTGCATTAAACGCCTATACGTGCATGTGTGAACACACACAGAGGCAGTCGAAAGAGAGGGTAGGGTGGGGGGCAGGGAGGAGGAGGGGGGAAGGGGAAGAGGAAAAGGTTAGGAAGAGAAATCCTTTGTTTTATTTTTTTTAGTCTGCTGCAGGGAGCTGAAGAGGCAGAGCCTGTCAGTACCCCTCAATGGTAAGGACGGGGCATATGATCGAGTCTGAGAGTAACAGCAGAGAGGGCGAGGAATCAAGTGCGTCGCATATGCACATGAGTTTAAGATGGGTAGAAGCAATACAGACAGACAGGGGAAGATGTGGAAGAGGGGTGCGAGAGGCGAGTGGTGTGGGCAGTGGTTGAGTGACCGGGCGGCGAGGAACACTGAGCTGAATTCCAGCTGTCCCCTTCTCAGGTGCACAGGGAGTTGCAGCAGCAAGTGCGGAAACCAAGGGGAGGCACGGGTGCACGTGCAGCAATGCACGAGCAGGAAGGTGCAAGCAGAACCGAACATGCTCTCACGCACTCAGATCCTTTCACCGCACCCACCCACTGCCCCCACCCTCCCAATCGCCTTCTTCCCTCCCGTGCTTCCCTCTTTCCCCTCCCCCTCCCCCAAAGTTGCGCCTGCCTGACCTACATGATGCCCCTGCCTGTCCCCGCCCATCATCAGCAGCTTACGCCCTGAACTGCCCGTTGTATGCCTGCATGCCATGCATGCGGGGGGTGCGAGGAGGGCGAAAGGAAGGGAGGGGAAGGGAGAAGGGGGGAGGTGAAGGGATGGGAGAGAGAGGAGGGGAGGGGAGGGGAGGGGAGGGGAGGGGAAGGAGGGAAGGAAGGGGAGGGGAGGGAAGGGGAGGGGAGGGAGAGAGGAGGGGAGGGAGAGGAGGAGGGGGGAGTGGGGCGAAAGGAGCGGTGGAGGGGTAAGGGAGGGCTCTCACAAGTCCTTCAAAGCGGGATCAGGTTTTGAGTGGTTCCCTGGCGGACAGGGAGGGCGGAACGGAGGTGGCAGTGGAGGAATAGGGTGCGGAACTGGCGGGTTGGGAAGCCCGATACGGGGAAGAAATGAGAAAGGAGGGGTGGGGAGCGTGTGAGTTGCGGGGAAGGGTGTCGGGGATGGAAGGAGTGGAGGATGGGGAAGGACTTTGGGGAAACGAAGAGAAGATTGCAAGGGGTCACAAGACCAGTCAAAGCAAAGCAAAGCAAAACAAGCTCAGGGTGGATCTCAAGGATACCACACAAATTCCGAGCACAAGCAAGCGGTCACAAGACCAGTTCACATGCAGTTTGATAATATAACAAGAGGTACAGTGATCACAACCTAGCAAGTGTAAGCATGCAGGTATATATATAGAGATCACAGTACAAGCAGAGTCAAGAAGTGAGCAAGTGAGGGACAGTAGGCACAAGGCCTAGAACAGTACAGAAACGCTGATGATCACAAGGCTGAAGCGCCTTGGTGAACACATCAGCAGTGTTGGCCCGAGTGGCCACGTAAGCAAGATGAAGCTGACCACGCTGCTGCAACTCTCGAGCAAGGAAGTAGCGCAGAGCGATGTGCTTCGTTCTGTGCTCCAGTCTGTGCTCCTGACACAAGGCAATGGCGGCCTTGTTGTCGACGTACAGCACTGGAGGAGAACGAGGCCGCTCTCCCAGGTCGGTCAGTAGGTAGGTGAGCCAGCGTAACTCCTGTGCAGCCATGGCTGTGGCGTAGATCTCAGCCTCACAACTTGAGCTGAGAACTGAAGACGAGCGTGTAGAACGCCAAGAAACTGAACCAGAGCCAAGGCTGAAGGTGTAACTCTGAGACGACCGCTGCGTAGCCTGGTCGTCAGCCCAAGAAGCGTCTGAGTGCCCAGTGAGGACAACATCGCTCCGTCCTCCAAGCACAAGCCCCATGCCCGACGTACTGCACAAGTAGCGCAACACCCTCTTAGCGGCATCCATGTGCTCCTTCCAGTGACGGCCAGGAGCGACATAGCGTGCTAGGATGCTAAGAGGGTATGCAAGGTCAGGTCGAGTGCAGGTCATCAGGTACATGAGGTAGCCCACAAGCTCTGGATACGGGCCACTCGGCTCTACGGACTCATCCGAAGGCAGAGCTGAGAGCGAGTGACCGGTAGGCAGAGGAGTGGGCTGAGGCGAGGAGTATGTGAAGCGGAAGCGCTGAAGGACCTGCTGCACCATGTGTGACTGAGTCAAGGTGATGGTGTGCTGTGCTCTGTCCCGGGTGATCCGCAAGCCAAGATAGCTTGTCAGCTCACCCAGGTCTGTGCACGTGTGTCTCTTCTGCAGTTCCGACTTCACGTGGGCGAGTGCCTCAGTGTCAGCAGTAGCAAAGACCAAGTCGTCTACGTACACGAGAACGTAGAACGGCGGCAGAGTGGTGTCGGTGCGTAGAAACAGCGACGGGTCAGCAGTAGAAGGAGCAAACCCAAGAGCAGCAAGAGTAGTCCTCAGTGTTGTCGTGCCACTCACGGGGTGCCTGGCGGAGACCGTAGACTGGCCGCCGGAGGCTCCACTGGGTATCAGCAGGGAACGACCCAGTGAAGCCAGGTGGGCGGCGCAGCCAGATCTCCTCGTGCAGGCTGCCCTGTAGGAAAGCAGTGCTGAAGTCAAGAGAGTGGAGCTCGTAGTCACGCTGAGCGGCGACGTGCAGCAGAACCCGAAGTGTGGTCATCTTCGGGGTCGGGGAGAAGGTCTGGAAGAAGTCAACTCCCTCTCGCTGACTGAAGCCTCGTGCAACGTAACGCGCCTTGAAGACAGGCGGAGTACCCGGCGGCCGCTTCACCCTGAAAATCCACATGCCACTGACGATGTTCGCCCCAGGTGGGGGAACCTCGTCGACGTAGGTGCCTGTGGACTTCCAGGATGCCATCTCTGCGTCCATGGCTGTCTGCCACTGAGAGGAGTAGGGACCCTCTATCGCCTCTGCGTAAGAGCGCGGGGTCGGGATGTCTGGTGCATCCGGGTCTCCCTCAGGGGCAATCAGCATGGACACGAGATGAGGTAAAGCAGCGGCAAAGCACTCAAACTCCTCCTGTCTGTCCTCAAGGACGTCCGTGCCAAGAGCACACTCACCCCCGACGGACGGAGGACAGACAGACTCAGACTCAGCAACAAGGCTAGCGGCGTAGTCTAGACGACAGGCGGCAGCAAAGTCAACGAGCTCAGCAACTAGAGAAGACGCAGCAGTGGACTCAAAGGAAGGGTCAGTGACAACAGTAGCGAGAAGACGCGTGACAGTAGGACTGGCAGCACGAGCAAGGTCTGACGGCGGGTCAGCAACGTCAGGAAGAGAGGACGCAGGAGGAGACGGCAGAGGGACACGCTGAGGAGCAGTGGAAGGACGCAGAGTCATATAGTGAGTGCCAAGTACAGGAGGAGGACGCTGACGCGGAGCACGACGACCAGCGCGGACAGCGCGGACAGACGACTCTGGACGAGACTCAGGCAACTCAGGACGAGACTCAGGCGACGCAGGACGAGACTCAGGCTCACGACGCTCCGTAAGACCTCTAGTCCGCCCAGCGTAAGGAGAAGGACCAGGCAGTGGAGAGGCAAGCGGTAACTGTGACTGCGACTGGACAGGTGGTGGACTCAGTAGGGGAGGAGAAGGACCAGTGGAGGGCGGGAGGCCAAGAACCTGCTGAAGGAGCGGAACGTAGTACGGCCGCGGCCGCTCAGCACCTCCTGAACCAGCAGAGACAGCACCAGCACCCTCAGCCACAGGGTCTCAAGCGACAACTCCCGCAGCACCACCAGTAACCCCAGCAGCGCCAGTACCTCCAGCTCCAACCCCCGTAGCAGCTCCAGTCCCAGCAGCTCCAGTACCTCCAGTACGAGCACCTCCAGAACCAGCGGCTCCAGCAGCTCCAGCACCAGCAGCACCTCCAGCAGCACCTGCACCAGCAGCACCTCCAGCAGCTCCAGCACCAGCAGCACCTCCAGCACCAGCAGCACCAGCACCAGCAGCAGCTCCAGCTCCAGGGTCCGCTGCACCAGCACCAGCTCCAGCTCCAGGGTCCAAGGCACCAGTAGCACCTCCAGCAGCACCAACAGCACCTCCAGCAGCACCAGCACCAGCAGCACCTCCAGCAGCACCACCAGCAGCTCCTGCACCAGCAGCACCAGCTCCAGGGTCCGCAGCACCAGTAGCGGCTCCAGCTCCAGGGTCCAAAGCACCAGCAGCGCCACTCCGGAGACTGCAGCGCCGAGCGTACCACTCTCGGAGCCGCTGGGGAGACGGCGGCTCCCGCCTAGGCGGGGAACCACGAGCACCAGCTCCAGCAGCACCCCTAGCCCCAGAAGCGCCCCTCCTGAGGCTACAGTACCGCGAGTACCACTCCCGCAGCTGCTGTGAAGAGGGAGCGCCTCCAGGCGCAGCACTGTCAGTCGCAGCACCCCCAGGCTCAGTACCCTCAGACGTAGCACCCTCAGGCTCAGCACCCCCAGACT